AAATTAATATTGCCTTTTGTTTTATGAAACCTGCAAAGTTGACTGCTTGAATATTTGAGTCTTTTTACACTTTAAGTTTCTCATCTATACTTTCTTATTAATAATGTGAAAGAAAGGTTAGAGAAAGAAATATAAGGAACACCCAGGAGAGCTAGCATGATAGGCAATTTTCTATACTGCAAATAGTAATAACTATGCCACAAAGATGGCTGAAAATGAAACTTAGTAGTTTGTGTTTAGCTAAATATAGGATTATGGGTCATTAACAAAAGCTTAATTAAGGGGAGTTTTACCCTATTGAACAAGTGAATTTAAAATGTGGTATTAAATAAGAAGTGTAAAAAAAAAAATAGAATTAAAAAGTTATAAGACGGTGAAGTTGAATTTTCAATGAAAACATCACACCAAAAGAACTACTTATATAAATCATAAACTTGACTTAAGAGTAGTCAGTCCTAAAATTTAGCCATATAATTTACTCTTAATATAAAATTAAGAAGTGGTATGACTGCCAGCTGTGAGACAACTATCCACCAAAGACCAAAGGACAAGGATAAAACAACTACAGGGTACGTACTATAAAGCCTTCAACAATAAGCAAAATCATACAGGATAGTTACATATAAATGGCTACTAAGGGAAATGTAAAAATAGTCAAAAGAGAAAACCAACAGTCTGATCTAATGCCAATATGTTTAATAAATATCTTGAAACTGGAGAGCTTTTGTATCTTATAAGATGTCCCATTAAATATTAATTCTAAAAACTCTGTTTGATAGGGTGTTGGCCAATAATGTAGAAGGTTAATAGTGAGCTTTTAATAAATACCAATGTATATTTACCAAAAAATGAAATTGTATGGATACCTGTATTGGCCATATTGAAAAGAGAATAAAGGTATTAAAACTGTGACAAAAATGAAATTGTATGGATACCTGTATTGGCCATATTGAAAAGAGAATAAAGGTATTAAAACTGTGAGTATCTGCTTAGGCTTTAAGGGCATCAATACAGCTACAAGGGAGGTAATGACATTGCTAACATAAAATGTTATTTTTCACAACGTCAAACTGTGACATATCCAGAAAAGATGCATTTTAGACAGATTTTTATCATTCAAACTGATTCAACTTGAAAACCAGTTCATGGACCCCTCTTTTTAAAAATGACATTTGGCTTGAATACACATAAAGATTATTTGTGCCAATTTTTATGAACAAATCACTGATGAAATTTTTTTAAATTAGATGAATATACAGCAAAAAAATGCTGTTCTTTGACAAATCATGAAAATGTGATAAAAATGAATAATTTCCAGAGAATTGTTTAACAAATATAAAGCATACTTATGTAGAGAAGATGTTCCAGATGCTTTTACAAAAATCTGCTTGCGTTTATCTTTTGAAACAAAAAAGTTAAGTATGTCTTTCCAAAGGATAGAAATGTCCAAGAAACCGAAATTTCCAGTAAATGTCTAAAATTTCAACCCCATTTATTTCTAAAAGTAGCACATGAAGGTATATTTTTTATTACATATTTGAATTGACTAGGTGAAAAATAGTTTGCATGCAAACTTTCGTAAAAAAATTCATCATGGGATCAAAACTGTATCGTGTGCCCTTAAGGTGACAGTCAATTAGACTTTGTAATAAATGAACTTTCTTCATAATGGAGATCTGTAAAATTTTAGCAACAATCAGTTTGATTTCAGGAACAATTCGGCTTAAGTTACCAACATGCTTTACAAGGTCAACCCTAATAAATACTTGCCAGGAATAAATTGGAGCAGACTTCCCTTTATTTGTGAGTATCTTTTTGAGGACTTGTTACAGGCATTACTGTTGTTTCATTTACGGAAACCCCCAAGGGAAAAAATGTACGTCAAAAATCAAGATGGAGTTCTATCATGTAGCATATCAAAACAAAGTAATAATTAGGCATCATAATTTAATCTCATCTGATTATGACAATTTTCATTTATTTTTATTTTCTATGAGGCCAAACAAAACAAGTTTGTTTTAGTTTATAACAGACCCTTGAAAATCTTTGAGATAAAGTTTTGTATTCTTTATAATCATATGTTTGGCAATATGTGAAAAAATAAGATTTACAAAACAAGATGGTTTGTCAAGTCAACTCATTTTAGTTTGGTTAGTGATAATAAATTATCAATTAATTATAAGGAGTTGTGGTTTAATTTCCAATGAGAACTACTAATATCCATTAATGACCAAAGGACCAAGTTGTTCTTTTGGTGTGATTTTTCTCTAATATTAATTTTTGGCAGTGTCGAGCAATAAAAAAATATATATAAAATATTTAAATACATGCCTCTTGGTGAGTTCTTGTTTGACCTGGCTTGAAAAAGGAAAGAAAGAAAAAATACTCATGATTTGAACCTAAGGAATGTGATAAATGGAGCAACAGCAACAAACAAATCATCATCATATAATCTGTCTTGAGTGATTTTTTTGTTTACATATATACCTTTATGTCAAACTATACCAATATACAACACAAGCTATATAATGAAATGCTAGGTTTGTTAGAGGGGTAATGAAGTCCAGTCATACTATCCTGAGCTCTGATAGATATTTTCAAAATCTGATATATATCACTTATAAATCCATGTAATGTTTGACATATACATATTTTGAATTAAATATATAAAATAAGGAGATATGGTATGGTTGCCAATGAAATAACTATCCAACAGATGTCTATGTCCTTTTTAAAATTAATAAGATTATCAGTGTTAAAAATTCAAGTAATAAATAACTCATATATATTAATATCATTAATTCAAATATCATTAACTGCTAATGAGAGGGAGAAAAAAAACAGATCAATGAATTCAATTTGTATCCCTAGATTGAACAAGACTTATTTGGTTCCTTAAAGGAACTTTTCTGAACAAATATTCATCAGGGAACCTCTTGGTTAAAACTTTCAATTGTCTTGGATGTATAAAAAGAGATGTACATACAACAGGGGACATAAAAGAATTGTCAAAACATGACCAAGTTTGACTTAGGGTGGAAGAATTTTAGTCATATTTACAAAATTTAGAATCTTAGACGTTTTTACAAAATTAAAAATCTTTGTCCTATTCACAAACTTAGAATCAAAGTCAAATTTACAAAATTTATCCTGAGTCACCTCTATAGTTTGATTCTTTAAAAGACCTAATGACATTAACTGGAAAGGAAACTATGTGAACTTAAACACCTTATCTTTCTCCCTCTCTATAGTTAACCTCAACCTTAGAAAGCCAAAATATAACAACCATGCCTGTTAGTCATAATCCGCAAGCTCTGACTTACGATCTTATGGAATAGAGGTTGGTCGTAATGAACTTTGAGACTTCCCTAAAGTTTGACCACTACCCAATGATTTCATTGACCACCTAGACCACTGTGTTTGTTGTCTTGATCGACAGTGTCTACAGTTTAAACTATGACGTTCACCTGTTACTGGGGAGGGAAGTTCATCCATACTGCCTTTGGGATATGGCCAAATTTTCATCGGAATTTTTAAGGAGCCTCCGCCTGCATGATGAGCTACATTATCTAGTGATCCCACTTTTGCTGATGTATTCCATTCTAGAGAATTGTCCACGATTTGTACATTTCCTCCTCCTGCACGATGTGTTACATTGCCTAAAGAATCTATTTTTGGATGAGCTTGCCATCTGGGAGTTTCATTAACGATCTGAATATTTCCACCACCTGGTTTGTAGGTTTTTGCCTTCTCCAATGATCCAATCTTTGGTTTGGCATCCCAATGTGGTGTCTCACTAATGATATGTTTATCACCACCACCAGGGACATGATGGACATTGTCCATAGAGCCTACTTTTGGATTTCCTTGCCACTGAAGGCGTTCACCTCTAACTGTCACATGACCTCCTCCAGGTGTATGGTAAACATTGTCTAATGATCCTATACGCGGTGAGACCTCCCAGTTTAATCGCTCATTTACTATATTTATATCATTAGTCTTTGGTTTATAACCAGCATTTTCTAAGGATCCAACTTTTGCATGTGTTTCCCACTTCAACTTTTCACTGACAATTTTGACATCTCCACCTTTAGGAGTATAATTTGCATTTTTAGCATCTACTTTAGAATTTAGTTTCCATTTAAGTTTTTCGTTGTGTATTTGAACATTGCCACCAGGAGGCTGAAAATGACGATTATCCAAAGATCCAACTTTTGATTGTGCATTCCACTGTATTTTCTCTGTGGGAATTATTACTTGTCCCCCACCAGCTTCATGAGTTACATTATTTAATGAGCCTACTTTTGCACCAGCCTGCCATTCTAGACGATCGCTGAGAATTTTGACATCTCCACCACCAGGACTATGATGAACATTGTCAAAAGATCCAACCTTGGGTTTGGCATAATACTTTTTATTTTTCACCATGGCATATGTTCCCTCTTCATTATGTTGTAAGTGTTCCCATCCATTTCTTGCGTTTGTAAAATTTAATCTATCTTGATAAATTTTGGGAAATTTAATTGCATTAATGTCTTTTGTTCCATCACTATGGTAACTCTGAGGTCGTTTTAATTGAAGATGGCGGTCATCCAAGGAACCTACTTTTGCCTGAGAATTCCATTTTAGTTTCTGGTTAATAATTTGCTTATTCCCTCCGCCTGGTCGATACTGCACATTATCCAAAGAATTAACCTTTGATCGGCCTTCAAAACCAAGGTCAATGGATGGCAGTTTTTGGTAATATGGACTGTTGTCAACTTTCATGGCCATATTCCTAATAGGCCTATATATTTTCTAATTCATTTACTTTAAAAAAAAAAAAAAAAAAAAGGAAAACGTTCAGTTCAATCTTTCACCTTCCTACCTTCACCTTAGTTCAAGAATTCTCCAGTCAATATCCAGTCACCAGTTGCAATCAACACAATACAATTTTAAATTGCATTAATCTGTTTTATAAAAAGTCCAAAGGAAAATGTCAAAAAAGGAGAAAGTCTCACAAAAAATTGAAGTTCTGTTTTTCTGTTGTCAGGGCCAAAATGACGAAGAAATACAATCCCAAAGAGAAAAATGGTATCACACAGTATAACAATAATGTTAGAATAATGACAAGTTCTCTTTCAATTTCTATCTTTTTGTATCCAGTTGATTAATGACCAGAAACATTTAAACAATTGATAATTCTTCCGAGTCAGTGGTTTAAATTTAAATTCCTTTAACACAAAATATGTACTATTGAATTTGAACTTCCTTTCAATTTGTGGTTGTTAAGAATATCGTCAATGATCAAGTGCTTCCTTGGGTGCCAATTTAAACAGTGACGTACAGGTAATCTAGTTAAATGCTAATCAACACATTAAACAATTACATTTTCAATTTCATTTATGTTCGTTCTACAATAGCTACCAATACAAGCTAATATATATAAGTAGATAAAAATGGAGGTCTATTTCATATGATGATTTAAAGATCCTTTTTCATGAAACCTTAATCTATTTGTTCAAATTTGTTTAAATCTTTCCTGAAGCAATACATATGTCAAAATTAAATATCCCATATTAGGAACAGAAATATTTTCCAATCTAAAATAAGTAACAAAATTCAGAATTCATGCTATGGATCAATGTACTTGTTTTCAAATTGATTTTTTTCACTACTTTTATTTCAAATATATATGAACATTTTAAAAATTCTTTCATTACCTATTTAAAATTCAATTTATATAGAATACAACATATAATCAAAAAATGCACTGGTGACTAACATCAAAATCAAATACTAATTTCCTTTCAAAAAGATAGAAAGCTTTTTTACAGGGCCTAAAATAAACATAATTCGCAAGCTAAGTAAAATTTTAAAATAAATACAATGTACATTTATAAAGTGATACATAGATCATTACATATACATGTGATAACTAAAACATCATCATTGATCCTAGTCTAGTCATTTATAGAGTTTAATCAATCCAATATTATCATATTTTTTTTTATTTTTCTAGACGGAGTGGAGGGGTCAAAGCAGGGATGTGCAATACTATCAGGTAGAAATGATAACTTATAATTAAGTACTTTTTAGGAAGGAAACAGGCTTTTTAAACTTAAATATGGCCTTGTAAAACCATTATTCAACTTACTACTCATATTATATAAATGTTATAATATTACATTAACCCGAGTAATTCAGTCTCTCCCCGTGATTGACTCTCCCACTCGCGAAAAAGCTTAAAGTTATCGAGATAGGTAAACCCGAGCTAATTCCGAATGATTATTTGACGATTTTTTGTTGACTAGGCCTTCAGGTGTTAATGTAGCCATCATTGAGCAGCGGAATATAACGACTGAATTATTTGGGTTAATATTACATCTTCTTTACTACTTTTTGGATTTATTTATGTAATCATTTTAACAATCTGGTACCAACTATTTAGGGGACAATTCAACCAATAAGTGGCTGATAATCTATAGTTAAACTTATGATGTAGTATGAAAAAGTTTCACATGCGTGCTTGTATGTAATGTGTAATACTGAATCAGCCCCTGTCCCAGCTATTACTTCAAAGATGGCTGCTCTCAAAGAAATTTTTAAATTTCATATTTTGAAAGCTTTTTGGTAGGTAACAGAAGTGCAAAAAGTTTAATTCAAATATTTATTTTGCAACAAAAGACCAACCTGTACAACTGCTTATATTTAAAGTCTATTGAACATCTCAGGTACAAAATATATGAAATGAGGCATGTTTATAATGCTAAATTTTCTCCAATAAAAAGAGAAACTCTGTGACTATATATAATATTCCACGGAAAGTCTGGATCTACCAATGTTAAACTCATCTTTAGAATCCTCTAAAACTTCTCCTTGAACAAGTACAAACCATACAAGAATACAAAGATTGTGTATTGATATATATCTCTTTACATTTAATCCAGAATAGAGAATATATACAGAGCTACTGAACCAGACACATCTTTATATACATCTACATGTCTATATTGTATTAATGTCATCACTTACTGACTGTTAAATGTGAAGGACAGTACTTAAAGAGACATTGGGGGTAAATAATGATCATTTACTGACTTATCAACACCATTAATCTAAGGAGACATTGGGGGTAAATAATGATCATTTACTGACTTATCAACACCACTAATCTAAGGAGACATTGGGGGTAAATAATGATCATTTACTGACTTATCAACACCACTAATCTAAGGTGACATTGGGGGTAAATAATGATCATTTACTGACTTATCAACACCGCTCATCTAAGGAGACATTGGGGGGTAAATAATGATCATTTACTGACTTATCAACACTGCTAATCTAAGGAGACATTGGAGGGGGGGGGGGGGGGTAAATAATGATCATTTACTGACTTATCAACACCACTAATCTAAGGAGACATTTGGGGGTAAATAATGATCATTTACTGACTTATCAACACCGCTCATCTAAGGAGACATTGGGGGGTAAATAATGATCATTTACTGACTTATCAACACCGCTCATCTAAGGAGACATTGGGGGTAAATAATGATCATTTACTGACTTATCAACACCGCTCATCTAAGGAGACATTGGGGGGTAAATAATGATCATTTACTGACTTATCAACACCGCTCATCTAAGGAGACATTGGGGGTAAATAATGATCATTTACTGACTAATCAACACCGCTAATCTAAGGAGACATTTGGGGGTAAATAATGATCATTTACTGACTTATCAACACTGCTAATCTAAGGAGACATTGGAGGGGGGGGGGGGGTAAATAATGATCATTTACTGACTTATCAACATCACTAATCTAAGGAGACATTGGGGGGTAAATAATGATCATTTACTGACTTATCAACACCGCTCATCTAAGGAGACATTGGGGGTAAATAATGATCATTTACTGGCTTATCAACACCGCTCATCTAAGGAGACATTGGGGGGTAAATAATGATCATTTACTGACTTATCAACACCGCTCATCTAAGGAGACATTGGGGGGTAAATAATGATCATTTACTGACTTATCAACACCGCTCATCTAAGGAGACATTGGAAGTAAATAATGATCATTTACTGACTTATTGACATCGTTAATCTAAGGAGACATTGGGGGGTAAATAATGATCATTTACTGACTTATTGACATCGTTAATCTAAGGAGACATTGGGGGGTAAATAATGATCATTTACTGACTTATCAACACCGTTAATCTAAGTAAATTCAACTGAACATTTGTGGGGGTAAGCAATATGTTTATTTCATTTGTTGTTGGTTTCAATTCTATCTTCATACCAACAAACCACCCTGTTTATAGGACCAGAAATCATCAGCATTAATTCATTTTAGTGTAAAAAAAAACAAAAAATTTTTTTTTTTAAAAAGTTCCTTCTAAACACAAACAACAACAATTAGTGTGTGTAGAAAAATTGAACTTCACTCCTCAAAAAAAAAAGATTATTTTCTGATTTGAAAAAAAAAAAAAATGACTAGAGGCTCCTAAGAATATACAGCTTTTAAAACGCAGTACAAGGATCATATTGTTATTTCACAGGATCTGCTCGACTTGCTTAGTAACATGTCCCTTCCAATTTTATTTTTTTTCAATTTTACCCCCTTTAACAATTTTACTGCTATAACTAAGAGATTCCCATTATATTGACACCTGCACTTCTCCAAGGGCAATCAGTATACTGGCAGTTTTCAGTAAACACATAAATTAATAAGAAAGAAATAAAAGAAAGGGAATTGTAGCAAGTCTAAGGATCTGCTAACCCTTTCAGAGCTAAGTTCACCCCAAGTTTTTGTTTCCCTCAGTCTTTAGTTTTCTATGTGGTTTTAAAGAACTTGTTTGTTTTTTTCATATTTGCATTGGCATGGTCAGTACTCTCAACTAACAAGTTTTGAATACTGTAAATTCAGAAATTATTGTGTGCATTTATTATTGCGATTTTGTCATTTTAGACTAAAATGCGATTTTAATTTTAGCGATATTGAGAAAAATCCTGTTTAATTCATATAAAAAAGTTTCAAAATGCGAGTTTAAATTATTGCGATTATAACCCTGTCGCATTTTTCGCAATAATTTCTGAATTTACAGTAACCCTTTGGATAATCTTCCCCTTCTTTTTCACAATAACTCATTAAGAGATCATCTGATAATTTGGCGTAATCAGGAAGTAGGCAGATCTTGACATCTGATCATTTAAGCCCAGTCAGATTTTAATTATCTATTATAGTTTTCGAGATATAAGACAATTAATGCATTTTACCCTTATGTTAAATCATTAACCATGGCAGCCATGTTTGTTGCCTGAAGGTAGAAAAAACACAAACAATATACTAGATACCCTATGGATCATTCGCCAAAAGTTTTGCTGAAATAGTTTCAGAGAAGAAGATTTTAGAAAAAGTATAGGACAACGGACTCCAAGTGGTGGCAATACCTCACATGGCCCTTTTAGAGGCCACCTGAGCTAATAAAAAGAAAAACTGAGTTCCCAAACATGTTCTTTATAATAGTTTGTATATATTGCCTTACTGATTGTTTTGCTGTTAGCAGTTTTTATCTATCTGTTACAAATTTCAGGAAAATATCCAACAAGAAATGAGCTGTCAAAATGACAGCGATCCAGGTTTTCTGAATTTTGAAGGAGCTTTCAGGTTTGTTTTACAACAACACATTAAAATTTGAAAAGCATTGGTTGGACTGCATGTTCACAAGTTATTTCACGGAAATTATTGGCAGCTAGAAGAGTTATTATGGATTAAAATCTGTCAGGATGATGTTATTTGGTCTCTGATGGAAAACCAACATGCAAAACTTTACTTGGAAAACTCAAGAAGAATAAATGAATTAAAGACTATATGAAATGCCTTATAATATTTAGCCAACTCTGTTAGAGAGGAAAAAGAGAGCCAAAAGATATCAAAGGGACATTAAAACTTATAAGTTGAAAACAAACTGACAAAGCCATGGCAAAAAAATGAAAAACAACCAAAGGACAAACAACAGTACACAATACAAAACATAGAAAGCTAAAGACTTAGCAACACAAACCCCACCAAAAACCTTTGGAAAATAACCATTCTATTTATATCAAAACATTTACAATAAATACTGATTTTTTTTTATTGAATGTTTTGCATCTTAGTTTACTTCTTATGAATACTTTTTGGCAGTATATTGATTAAATCAGCTGAGTACCCAACCAAATAAAAACAATGGCCTACATCCAGTAAATTATAATTCCAATAAATTCTTACAAATATTTAACTTCTCTCTATTTGTTAATTTAACTAGCAAATATTTATTTACTTTTCATTTTATATATAATTTTATAGCTTAACAAAAAACTAAAAGGTAGACCAAGATCAATTTTCTAAAAACATCAATAAAACTTTGGTACTTTCAATATTTTCATATATTAACAAACTCTTTGTTTAGTATTAGAAAACTCCTTAAAGTTTAGATTGAAACTGCATACATCAATTTCTATTTGATATTCATTTTAACCAAAGCTATCTGGTTTATCTTTCTAGCTGACTTTTGGCAAATAAATAGTTTTTTTTTGGTTTGTTTTCTACTCTTCATTTTTTGTGTATATATATTCAATGTATTAAAATATATAAGCTTTTCAATGTTTTGCTTCTAACATTTAATGTATGAGTTGTTTGGTAACTTTCTTTTCTTTTTATTCACAATTTGCAGAAGGAAACAGATGGTTTATATACAACAGGAGATTGTGTAATGTAATAGTTTCAATGGTGTTATAAATATTAAAATATTCTATTCATCAAATGATCTAGCTAGATGTAGCTTTAATGTTATCCTGTACTGCTTTCATGAACAAGCAGAGTTTTGTCATTTCACTCTGTTACAAACATTGTACTCGAGAAAACAACTAAAGAAAGACATAAACCTAAAAACAAAACAAATTCATTTTTAGGATTTCCAGTTCACTTACAATTATCATGATCTATTTTCTATATGTGCCTTTAGCCCCCAATTGATAGAAGAACAAGGAATGGGTTGTCAAGCTCACTTGGTTTTCTGTTATTTTTAAAAGTGCCTTCAGGCTTTCTTAACCTGCAACATTCAACAATGAGTAAAACCCATATCATACAGTAAGATGTGAACAATCACAGGACACTATACAACATTCAACAATGAGTAAAACCCATACCATAAAGTAAGATGTGAACAATCACAGGACACTATACAACATTCAACAATGAGTAAAACCCATATCATACAGTAAGATGTGAACAATCACAGGACACTATACAACATTCAACAATGAGTAAAACCCATACCATATAGTAAGATGTGAACAATCACAGGACACTATACAACATTCAACCATTAGTAAAACCCATACCATACAGTAAGATGTGAACAATCACAGGACACTATACAACATTCAACAATGAGTAAAACCCATACCATATAGTAAGATGTGAACAATCACAGGACACTAAACAACATTCAACCATTAGTAAAACCCATACCATATAGTAAGATGTGAACAATCACAGGACACTATACAACATTCAACCATTAGTAAAACCCATACCATATAGTAAGATGTGAACAATCACAGGACACTAAACAACATTCAACCATTAGTAAAACCCATACCATATAGTAAGATGTGAACAATCACAGGACACTATACAACATTCAACCATTAGTAAAACCCATACCATATAGTAAGATGTGAACAATCACAGGACACTATACAACATTCAACCATTAGTAAAACCCATACCATACAGTAAGATGTGAACAATCACAGGACACTATACAACATTCAACAATGAGTAAAACCCATACCATACAGTAAGATGTGAACAATCACAGGACACTATACAACATTCAACCACTAGTAAAACCCATCCCATACAGTAAGATGTGAACAATCACAGGACACTATACAACATTCAACAATGAGTAAAACCCATACCATATAGTAAGATGTGAACAATAACAGGACACTAAACAACATTCAACAATGAGTAAAACCCATACCATATAGTAAGATATGAACAATCACAGGACACTATACAACATTCAACAATGAGTAAAACCCATACCATATAGTAAGATATGAACAATCACAGGACACTATACAACATTCAACCATTAGTAAAACCCATCCCATACAGTAAGATGTGAACAGTCACAGGACACTATACAACATTCAACAATTAGTAAAACACATACCATACAGTAAGATATGAACAATCACAGGACACTATACAATATTCAACCATTAGTAAAACCCATACCATACAGTAAGATGTGAACAATCACAGGACACTATACAACATTCAACAATTAGTAAAACCCATACCATATAGTAAGATGTGAACAATCAAAGGACACTATACAACATTCAACAATGAGTAAAACCCATACCATACAGTAAGATGTGAACAATCACAGGACACTATACAACATTCAACCATTAGTAAAACCCATACCATACAGTAAGATGTGAACAATCACAGGACACTATACAACATTCAACCATTAGTAAAGCCCATACCATACAGTAAGATGTGAACAATCACAGGACACTATACAACATTCAACAATGAGTAAAACCCATACCATAAAGTAAGCTATAAAAGGACTAGGGATGACCCTTAAAAGTTGGTTTGACTACTTTCACATATCATGCTTTTCTATTTATTAGAACTGCTGTGCTCCCATTCTTTAAATAATGCAAGAATGATCAACTCTGAAGGAACAAAAGCAGAGTTCATGTGTGGAAAGTAAAATTGGCAGCTTTGAACGTTCTTTTGTCACAATAAAAAGATAAATATAGCATAATTTGCATGAAAACTACATTTAAAATTTGGTAAAAGTAAAACAATATTGACCTAGGAGATAAAATTCCACTTTTTTTAATTCTTTTGTAGTATTAAACATTGAAATAAAAGACCTGGTATCAAATCTCTTTTGACATTTTTTGGTTACAGGCCAAGTTTAGAGTTTATACAGCTTTAAAATCAGGATTTATCTGGTTTTTGAGTGTGTTAATTTAATAATTTAAATAAACATTAAACTACTATGGAATTATGAGTTTCTTACCCTATATTATGAATTAATTTTGTAATCTATCAGGGTGTTTGGTAGGTCTTGGCCCACTGTTACAAAAAAATTGGAATTTATTTCCACAATGTTTATGCTATATCAACAGATCTAAAACAGAGTGTAACACTATAAAAATATATTTTGGACAAATATATAAAACATTATTTTTGCTAGAAAAGTACATATTTCATCAGCAGAAAAAATGGAGATAAAAGAAAACCATTCTAATGTCCCCTACCAAGACACATATCTTAACTGTTTAAAGGCAATAACTCAAAAAAATTTGCTTGGATTTTTTTTAGCTTTTTCAAAAATATCCTTCAAGAATTCGATTTCCAAGGGACATAACTCCTGTAAAAATAGCTGATTGGAGTTGAAAATAACAAGAGTGCACACGCTGCAATGTCTCGCCTACTTTACTAATCATTGATATTATGTTGATAGTTCTAAATATAAAGCTTTATTACAACTGTCACATAAACTTAACATTAACCAAGTAAACTAAACATTGACCAATGAACCATGAAAATGAGGTCAAGGTCAGATGAACCATGCTAGGCAGGCATGTACAGCTAACAATTCTTCCATACAACAAATATAGTTGACCTATTGCTTATAGTTTAAGAAAAACAGACCAAAACACAAAAACTTAACACTGAGCAATGAGCAATGAACCTTGAAAATGAGGTCAAGGTCAAATAAAACCTGTGTGACTGACATATAGATCATAAAATATTCACATACACCAAATATAGTTGAACTATTGCATATAGTATTAGAAAAAAGACCAAAACTCAAAAACTTAACTTTGACCACTGAACCATGAAAATGAGGTCAAGGTCAGATGACACCTGCCAGCTAGACATGTACACCTTACAATCATCCCATACACCAAATATAGTAGACTTATTGCATACAGTATAAGAAAAACAGACCAAAACACAAAAACTTAACTGTAACCACTGAACCATGAAAATGAGGTCAAGGTCAGATGACACCTGCCAGTTGGACATGTTCACCTAACAGTCCTTCCATACACCGAATATACTAGACCTATTGCTTATAGTATCTGAGATATGGACTTGACCACCAAAACTTAACCTTGTTCACTGATCCATGAAATGAGGTCGAGGTCAAGTGAAAACTTGACGGGCATGAGGACCTTGCAAGGTACTCACATACCAAATATAGTTATCCTATTACTTATAATAAGAGAGAATTTAACATTACAAAAAATCTTAACTTTTTTTTCAAGTAGTCACTGAACCATGAAAGTGAGGTCAAGGACATTGTACATGTGACTGATGGAAACTTCGTAACATGAGGCATCCATATACAAAGTATGAAGCATCCAGATCTTCCACCTTCTAAAATATAAAGCTTTTAAGAAGTTATCTAACTCCGCCACCGCCGCTGGATCACTATCCCGATGTTGAGCTCTCTGCGACAAAAGTCGCAGGCTCGACAAAAACTCTAATAAGACCTTGATGATATAAACTTTGATAAAAATTTCAAAAAATTCAACAATAAATGAAGGTTTCAAAAGATTCCATGAGGGTTTAACAAAGTTATTGATGTCTAAAAAGTGTAACCAAAGACTGTATGTAAATGTTAACTTAAATAAAATGCTCCGCAGGGCGCAGCTTGATACGACCGCAGAGGTCGAACCCTGAACAGTTGGGGCAAGTGTGGACACAACATTCAAGCTTGATACAGCTCTGAATTTGGATTGTGATTAAATATTTGACACAGCATAGGTTTCTGACACAGAATGAATGTGGTCTAAGAACTTAAAAATTTTAAATTGGACATTCACCTATTATGGTCCAATATCCAAAATCTAAATACATGGTTAGATTCAGCATATCAAAGAACCCCAAGAATTCAATTTTTGATGAAATCAAACAAAGTTTAATTTTGGACCCTTTTGACCTCAATGTGGACAAAGTTGATAACGGGGCCCAAAAATCAAAAATCTAAATACATGGTTAGATTCAGCATATCAAAGAACCCCATATATTCAATTTTTGTTGAAATCAAACAAAGTTTAATTTTGGACCCCGATTTGGACCAACTTGAAAACTGGGCCCATAATCAAAAATCTAAATACATGTTTAGATTCAGCATATCAAAGAACCCTAAGAATTCAATTTTTGTTAAAATCAAACTAAGTTTAATTTTGGACCCTTTGGACCTTAATGTAGACCAATTTGAAAACGGAACCAAAAATTAAGAATCTATATACACTGTTAGATTCGGCATATCAAAGAACCCCAATAATTCAATTTTTGATGAAATCAAACAAAGTTTAATTTTGGACCCTTTGGACCTCAATGTGGACCAATTTAAAAACGGGACCCAAAATCCAAAAACTAACTACACGGTTAGATTCAGCATATTAAAGAACCCCAAGAATTCAAGAATAAAACCCCATTGAAATTGGTCAAGAAATAAGCAATTTATACGAAGTATCTTCTTTTGCACAATACTGTGCAATTAAATATTTCTTGCTATTGCGCAATACTGTACAATTGACAATTTCTTGCTATTGCGCAATATTGTGCTATTGGATATTTCTTGCTATTGTGCAATACTGTGCAATTGAAGATTTCATGCTATTGCGCAATACTGTGCAATTGAAGATTTCTTGCTATTGTGCAATACTGTGCAATTGAAAATTTCTTGCTATTGCACAATAC